AAACCAGTCCATTGGTGTCGGTGCTTTCAGTGTCTTAAGATCTCGTTTGTGATTGACTGCTAGACAATTAACATTTTAGGCATATCTTAGGTGTTAACGGTTTTGTGTTTGACTGTGGGGGGTCGTTTGTTAATCAGTTATTAAGGCAACGCATTGAAAGTTCGAGAAAGTTAGTGAGGTGGATTGCTTCAGTTTGTTTCAGAGGTAAGTTTTGAAAACTTATAAATCTTAAAAGCACCGTACTGGATGTTACATCTGAAAGTCCTATCAGAGTTTCATGAAAAGTGTAAAGTAGGCCTAGAAAGACCATTGAAAAAACATTTACTTACTTCAAACATTTCACTTATGGAGAAATCTCGAGGTGCACGGATCGGCTAACACCGCAGCCTAAATTTTCTTCAAATAACTGGTCGTTATATTTTAGCTGTCGTTTCGGCAATTGAAGAAATGAACCTCGCAGGTGTGATGAAATTTTAATAAATTTCAGAAAAGAAGGCTGATAAAAGTTCAAACTTCGATGGGATTTGAACTCTTGCCTCCCAGACTCAATTGGGTGTCACTAACAGCTGAGCTACAAACTCACACGTCGCGAGCAAGCAAAATTTACTTCATCAGTATAATGATTTGTAGTTTTATTTTTCAGTGGTTTGCAATTTTCAATACCACTCAAACCAAAAGTGAAAATGCGTGCATCACAGCCAACTTATCTAAGTCCTTCATGCAAATTTAAATCGCGAACTTGAAGCCTAATGGTAAAGCTTCTATGTTCATTTATAATCGTTTAATCTCAAGTTGAGAATTCCTTAGGGATAGAGTGTGAAAACTCATTGTTATTTTTTAATCCAAGAAGTTAATTATCCAGAGTTAGACGACAGGAGTATCGGGAATCTACACTTTATGCAGATTTACTATGTGAACTCAGAGCGGAATTGCCGCGAATTTTAGGTGTCGTGGAGATTTTTTTTCAGGTATAAAGTTCAGAAAAGTTCTCTTCACAGCAGGAGAAAATTCGCAGCGAAAGGTGGTGAGATTCACCAATGTTATTTACTGCGTGTAAAAAGTATCAATGAAGGTATTTACAAAAGGATGGTGAAGTGAAACTAATTACATATACAGCACATGTATATACTTGATTTTACCAAATAACCCGCCCACGAAGGAGATGACTATAAATATTCCTTTGCAGAGATTTACGTGACGTTTTACACGATGTTGAAGTTGGCTTTGGTTTTCATGGTGATCTCCTGTGTTCTAATGGCAGAGGCTCGTAGATTACCAGAGCCGCGCCTTCAGGAGACTGAACGTTACCAAAGGCAATTCTTAAAGGTTGGTTTATTGATAGAGGGAGACTAAAATTCTACCAAGGCGATGAGAAACTGGAATGGGTGGT